TAAGTATTTTGAACTTCTTTAAGAAGATTTAAACAATCATTCTTAGCCTGTGATTTTGTAAAAATTTTTAATTATTTATAAAGTTTTCAATTTTATCTTCTAAGAATAAAACTTCCTCTTTACATAAGATTCGAGCATTCTTTAAAAAATTTTCTATGTTTGAAGGAATTTTTCTTTCAGTAATTTTAGAAGAATTTTCAAAGCAATTAGCAAATGATACATTATTCAATATAAAATTTGAGTTATTAACTGCTCTGTTGACATTTCTTACAGCTAATAATTGTCTTTTTTAATTTAATTTTCATCTGTTTTATGGTATAGGCCTCTTAAAACTACATTTTTTTCTTAAATTCCTTAGGTGTGAAGGTATATGAATCGATATTTTTTTCTCTTAGTTGAGCCATCATTTCTTTATGAACACAAGCATCTTTTAAATAAAGCTTACTTTTGAAACGTGATTTGTTAATTATTATAAAGTCAATATTTTTGGATTTTAGTTGATTAATTAACATTTGAATATCCAAATTATGTAAGAAAATGGGAGGACAAAATTTTTCTTTATTTGGTTTAATTTTATCTTTTTTTTGCTTATTATCATTAGAATTATCTTTTTGCATGTCAAGTTCACCTAATATTGCAAATCGATTATTATTGTTGTTTGTAGTATTAAAATTAGTCATATTTAATTGAATAGGTTGAATATTGTTTTCATTTAATCTTTTGCGTTTTCTTAAGTTTTCTGTTCCAAAATCATTAATGGTTTGTGAGTTGAGATTATCAAATTCCATTGTGTCTAAGGATTCTGAATCTTGATTAACTTCATGTTCTTCTGTCGTTTTTGATGCTATGGATGAAGCATCTAATTGAGTAAATGTTTGCGATTTGTCCGGTGGCCCTTTTAAAGAGCTTGGGGGATTATGTTTCAAATCCATATACAAAAAAAACGAAAATATAAAATATATAAATTTTTTATTTTTATAAAAATAAATTTATTTTTATTTGAAATAAAATGAACGAACTGCTTTCTTTAAAAGTTCAAATAGAACTGACAATATAAAAGTATGTATATAAGACAATATAAAAACGACAGTTATAATTTTAGTAAAAAGAACATAGAAGTTGCTTATTTGGGGTTGCCAACATCTCTCTTTCTTTTAAGAAGATGATAATCTGGAGTCCATACAAGAGGACGCTTTCTACGATTGGACCTTCGAAGAGCTGGGGAAGCTTCATCTGTTTGAACTACAGGATCTGTTGTTGAATTACTAGTCGATGCACCTTCTTCTAATGTTAACGTTAAATTTTCTAAAGTTGTCGGTTGACTATTCACGTTTGTTGAACCAGATGGTGAATTAACTAGAAGTGGATCTTGAACAGGTTGCAATTCATCTGTAGATGTAGTCTGTCCATCAGTGAGTGGTACATATTCAATTTCATTATCTCTCGTATCTTCATCTCTAGGATGAGTCTGTTGAGCTGTTATATTGAAATAATCAAATAAAACATCATCAGCTGCTATGTTCTCAGATTCAGAATAACGAGGTCTTAGTTGGTTTGTATGAGACCTAACTGCACGAAATTCAGGAATGTTTTCGATTTCGACTTCGTAATTGACATTTCCGAGTTTTCGTTTAATTTGTATAATTTTGCGTAAAATTTCTGACCAATGTTGTATATCCGCTCTTTAGCACCATTACGTTTGTTAAATTGTTCTTCCATTTTCTCGTATCGTTGTAATTGGGATTTTGTAGGTTTTTTAAGTAGATCAAGATTAATCCTTATTTTTCTCCCCACGAACAATTCAGAAGGCGATTTGCCACCAGAGCTAGGATTTGGTGAAGAACGATAACATTTTAAAAATGTTTGTAGATTTTCACTAGAAGTGCCAGTTCCTTCGAGTTTTTTCAAAGCGCGCTTTAAAGTGTCAACGAACCTTTCTGCCTGACCATTTGATTGAGGGTGGTATGGATCTGTGAATTTATGTAAAATACCATTTTCTTGACAAAACTTGGAAAACATGCTGCTGGAGAACTGAGTTCCATTATCACTCACAATTAATTCAGGGTTTCCAAACAATGAAGTGAAATCGCGCATACAATTTATAATTGAATTTGAAGAAATCGATTTAATTTGATAAATTTGTGGCCACTTCGAAAATGAATCTACTATTACGAAATAATAAAAATTATCAACAGGACCGACTATATCTAAGTGAACTCTTTCCACAGGTTGTTTTGTTAATAGCCATGAATAAAGTGAAGTTTTTGGTAACGATTTTGCTACTGAAGAGCATTTGAGCATTATCCACATGGGGCCAATAAACATAGCTGCGAGCCAGTGCCTTTGTCCTTTCGATACCATGATGACCTTTGTGTAATTCTTTTAGAACGCGTTTTCTAAAACAGCTGAGTATTATAATACGCTCCCCGTACATAACACAATCATCAACAATACTTAAATCTTGTTTTCTCGAAAAATAACACTGAATATCAGAAGATTTTTCATTTGGCCACTTACCAGTTTGTAAGAATTTTATAAGATCTTGGAGATTTGAATCCTTTTTAGTTGCTGCACAAAACATGTTGAATGTTACCGGCAAAGCATTTGTGATATCGTTAATTACCTCTTTGATGTCATCTTCCAATTAAATACAAGCGATGATAGTGTCTTCGTTTGGTTTTGGTACATTGGAAATTAGACGTGATAAAATATCAGCTGAGTGCAAGAGCCCATCGCTGGAGACGGTTTGCAGACTTTGCCGGAATTCCTTTTTTATTTCCAAAAATTGAAAGCAGGGGCTTGTGATCCATTTGAAGAATAAATTTTCTACCAAATAAATATTTATGGAATTTAACTACAGCGAAAACCAGCGCCAATCCTTCCTTTTCAATTTGAGAGTAATTTTTCTCAGCTGGAGTGAGAGACCTTGACGCATGATAAATTGCTTTTTCGCTGCCATCAGGAAAACATGACAGATGTATGCACCCAGTCCAACGTTTGAAGCGTCAGCTGCTACTTTGATAGGAAGCTTTGGATCAAAGTGAGTAAGCAACAAATCAGATGACAGAAGCTGTTTAAACCGCTCAAAACTGCGTTGACATGATGATGACCAGTTCCATGCTGGGTTTTTCTTGAGTAAATTATCCAAAGGATCTCGAAGCTTTCTCATTTCATGTAGAAATTTACCGTAGTAGTTAATTGCTCCTAGGAAAGACCGCAATTCACTAATATTCTTGGGAGGCGAAAATTTAAAATTTTTTTTAATTTTATCTGGATAAACGCCCTTTCTGTCGAAATAGTAACCAAGGTATGTACACGAAGTTTTAAAAAATTTTCATTTTTCAAAATTCACTGTAATGTTGTATTTTTTTAAACGTTCAAATACCTGTTTTACAGCTGCTACATTTTCTTCGCGTGTTGGTGTAGCTACAATAACATCGTCCAGATCACAAACAAAATTTTTATTTTATAAACGGTATTTTGTATGGAAATTTTGTTTTATAAACCTTTAATAAAATAAAAATGTTGTTTGTGAATAAGGGGCTTATAATATTATTTATTATTTACTTATTAAAAAAGTAAATAAATTATCAATTAAAATAACAAAAAATTAGCATTAGATTACAATATTGTAAGTATGTAGTAGCAAAAATACAAATTATATACATATGTATTATTTTTTATCAGTCAATATTGGGAACTTATAATACCGTGTAGGTCTCTACTATTGTCGTATAAGAAATATATAATAATATCTTTATAGAAACGTGACCAAACCACTACCATGGAAAGTTATTAAAAATGATAATGATAAATGATATCTATGATAAAATCAAATTTAATAATTTTATTTACAGTTGTGGGATGTTTGTACTCTCAATTGATTAGTAAAAAGTTCCCTATAATTGATAAAACAGATGCATATTTAAGACAAATAGTTTGTGCAATTTTTGAGTATTTCGCATAAATTTACTACGGATTAAAATTAATATAAAATTTATTTATTAATTTTTTGTCCTAAAAATATAATGAATCCCTAGATAGATGTACATATTTTTTCGGATTGTGGCAACTCTAAATGGTGTACTTTGTAGGGTTCTATAGTTGAAACGAAAAGTCGACTTTTCGACTTTTTGCATTTAGTTAAAAGTCGACTTTTCGACCTTTCGACTTTTTCCATTTTATGAAAAGTCGATTTTTCGACTTTTCGACCTTTTTCATTTATTTAAAAGTCGACTTTTAGACTTTTCGACTTTTAGTATTTTATAAATGGTCGACTTTTCGACTTTTTCCGACTTTTCGACTTTTTCCGACTTTTCGACTTTTTTCGACTTTTCGACTTTTTTCGACTTTTCGACTTTTTCCGACTTTTTTCAACTTTTCGACTTTTTCCGACTTTTCGATTTTTTACGACTTTTTGACTATTTTCGACTTATTTCGACTTTTTTTCGACTTTTTTCGACTATTTTTTACTTTTTTCGAGTTTTTCCGACTATTTTAGAGTTTTTGACCTCTTTTCCACTTTTTTAAAATTTTCGACTATTTTCGACTATTTTCGACTTTTCGACTTTTTCCGACTTTTCGACTTTTTCCGACTTTTCGACTATTTTCGACTTTCATCGACTTTTTTCGACTTATCGACTTTTTTCGAATTTTTTCGACTTTTATTTACAAAGTCGACTTTTCGACTTTTTTCATAGACGATAGTCGAGTTATCGACTTTTTTGGAACAAAATAGTCGACTTCGACTTTTTTCGACAAAAAGTCGATTGTTCGATTATTCGAAAGTCGATTTATAGAACCCTAGTACTTTGACAGTTGTATCTACCTCAAATAAAAAAAATGAGTGAACAGCTGTTGAATTTACTTCACCTTATGAGTGCACCCTGGTTCGAATCGACAAAAAGCAGGGTGAACACACGTAATTGAAATATATTTTGGTCAATTGTAATGTGTTCAGTTTAAAAATTATTTGAATCACGCAACTAAAAAGTGAAGTCGAATATTTCAATGTTATTTTCTCGACTCGAAAGTTACAGAACACGGGCACTGATTTCAAAATTTAAAAGATATTTTTTCTTTCATAAATAAAAAAGTTAAAATTTTCACTGTTTGGGCCCTACACGAAACAAAAACCAAAATATTGAATATATTTGTCCAAGTGATGATGAAGAAAGAACTTGAACCTCTCTAATGATTTTAAATCATAACAAAAAGACAACTCTGTTTTTACACTATTATTAACCACTTTCGAGGTTATTTTTATTACGACAGTGAAAAAGATTTTTTAGAGGAGGAAATATTGTTGTTAATAAGGTGTCTTTATAAATAATAAAATGTCAAATAGTCATTTATTTTTAAAATCTGGCTTCCCAAGTGCTCCTTTGCAGAATGGGCTGGGACGTTATGTGTGTCAACTTCAGAGAGTTACACTTAAGTTTTGTAAAAACAATGGTTCGAGCAAAGGCATGCGGTAAACTATCAGACAATTTACTTGATTGTGTGTTATAAATGAATCTTTTTTAGGGAATTCATTGAAAGTAAATTAATTGATTTTGCCAAAGAGAATCCTGGAATCGTTGTGTATGTTAAGCCCAGACGTCACCGTACTCCTGTATTAGTAGGAGAATATCGTAAGTTGTATTGGCACCAATAATAAATATTTTACACTGGAATCTGTTATTTTATTACATTATATTTTTTGCAGTTAATGGAGAACGTGAGTGGTTAAACTGTCGAAACTCTTCTAAAGATGATATACTCAAGTGGATAGAACTTTTGAAAACACAAAATGGGCCATCAAGTGCAACGCGTTTACGCAAAATGTGGCATACTGATGTTCCTTCAATTCAGGGCCCCTGGACGCCATTTATGTTGCGTAATCCTGAAAATAATTTAGTAAATTATCCTAACTCGGAACTCTCACGTCCTTTGGACATTCAGCCCTCAGCAACTGAAAAATTAATTGAGTTATTTAAGGAACAACAGAAACTAACCGATGGCAAATCTGAAAATGAATTTTTGACATCAAAACGAGCAGAATAAATAATTGTATGTTACTAAAATATTCAATCTTTTATTGGTAAATTTATTCTATAATTTTTTTTTGCAAATTGTGGTATGAATAGAATTGGTGTTTCCATTAAATGATAGATGTACTCGTTCTTTGAAATTAATTATCTTCATAAAGATATAAATCATATACATATCGTCACCTGAAACGCAAACGGCCCTAACTAACCAAAAATCCAAAATCGATTTTATTGCAGATTCTAACGTATAGCATCAACAAATGTCCACAAAATAAATTAGACTCCTTCGACCAAAATTAGCGATTTTATTGACAAAAAACAAAAGGCCCTATCTACAAAAACATTTAAATATTAAAAGTAAAAAGTCCAATTTATCCATTTTTATGTACGCCAATGTCAACTATCATAACAAATAACACGTTTCACCATTAAACAATTTGTCTATTTTATAAAAATAAATCGCGCTGATAGAAACAAACTTTTCAATTTAAATAGTTTTTTACTTCTCCTGTAAAATTTTAATAATGCCGTTTTCGTTTTAGGTGACGATATGCAGTTTAATAAGCACTTTATCTATACAAAATTCCTATAATGAACCATGAATAACTATTAAACATCTATGAATAAGGTAATACTAAGTAAAAACGATGCAATGAACTTCTGCGATTCGATTTATTATTGGTCAAATCACCACATGTATGAATTAATAAATCAAAAATAAAATTTTATTATGTTTCTGAATTCGGGCATAACTCACAATAAAATAATACCTTATTCAGAAAGAAGAAAATAAAACAATTATTCAGAAATAGCCATGGTATAAAGAAAACTATGGAAATAGCCTATGTATGTATCGTCATATGAAATCCAAAAAGCCCTAAGTATGGTATAAAGAAAACAAGGTAACTCCGTTCTCTCTCAATGAAAAGTTTTTTGACGTAAATAAGAATTATTGAAATTTATTTTTTGGAAACAAATAAAGAAAAACGTTGCCACACATGTAGTAGGGGAAATCATATTTAATAAATTAGAAATAAAAGAAGTGTATTTTTTGTACTAGATACATACAGTGTCTCTCATAAGTATTCGAATTTCGGTAAACTATGAAAAGAAATCAAATTTAATAATATATTTTGTGTGGAAAATAAATAAATTAATTTGTTATATTGTCTAGATAGTCCTTAGTTTTGATATCACGCCCCTTAAAACTTGAAAACTTTACATTTACTTAAATTAGTTGTGCTTTTTTTAAAAAAAGTCCATGAAACTACTTCACAAAAGTATGCGAATTTTTCCCGTATTTCATATTTGATCATATTATACGATACACAAATTTTAGAATCGCATGGTTTTATGCTTAATATTGTTTTAAGGAGTTATATCAACCGCATGGATATATTTTTGACCCATTTCGTCCACAATTTTGGGGGTTTTGTACCCTCTTTTCATGTTATATCATTAAAATGGCAATTTTTGGCTATATTTGTAATGTTTTCACCCTTTTTCCAGAGATAAAACCAAAATTTAATATTGGAATTTAATAGAACCCATAGGGTATCTAAAAATAATATTTTTTGTTATAAGGATCTGTACTTAAAAGTTCCAAGATGTATTTTTGATATCGTTTTTCAGTTTCTAATTGAATTATCTGGATCATAAGTCCCTTTTCGTACCTCTAGGGACGATATTTTCCGACAAAGTTGTCTAGTGTATATTCATGTACATATTGGCACTAATGTATTTTAAATTTTTAATATATTACAGCGGTATACAACCCCAAAACATGCCTTAACAAAAACGTCATCCTATATAGTAGATTTCAGTTTTTACTACTCGTAACTTTCACGCTTATGTTGCCCGTTACAATAACACTGTAAGTCCTAAATTTTGGTTTTAATTTGATCATAGTAAATAATATTTACACACATATCAACATTTTTGATGTGATCATAATGATATCGTGCCATGCAGCATGGAGGCCATTGGTATATAATAATAATGATTTTACTATTTTGAATGGTGCTTCTTCGAGGCATGTTTTGGAGTTGTACACTTCCACAACACATTGAAAACTTAAAATGTATAAAAGCTGATATCTAAAAGAATATATACCAGAAAACTTTCCCGGAAAATAGTTGATCCTAGTATTATAAAAATGGACTTAAGTTACAATATATTGAATTAGCGACAGAAAAATGATCCGAATAATTTATCTTGGAACGTTTAAATACAGATTCTTGTAACAAAAAATATTATTTTTAGATACCCCAAGGGGTCTTTTAAGTCCCAATATCAAATTTTTTGTTTTATCTCTGGAAAAAAGGAGAAAAATTTAGAATTATGGCCGAAAATCGCCATTTTAATGATATTATTGAAAACAGGGTACAAATTCCCCAAAATTGTCGACCAAATGGGCCAAAAATATATCCTTTCCGTGGATAGTAACCCCTTAAAACAATATTACGCATAAAAACCATTTGATTCTAAAATTTGTGTTGCGTATAATATGATCAAATATGAAATACAGGAAAAATTCGTATACTTTTGTGAGGCAATTTCATGGACTTTTTTTAAAAAAGCACAATTAATTTAAGTCAATGCAAATTTTTCAAGTTTTAAAAAGCGTTATATCAAACATAAGGACTATCTAGACAATATAACAAATTAATTTATTTATTTTGCACACAAAATATATTATTAAATTTGGTTTCTTTTTATAGTTTACCCAAATTCGAATAATTATGAGAGACACTGTACATATGTTTGAATGTCCAGTAATACTGGAATTTTGTAAATACATATGCATGTATATAAATATATTTTAATAATTGTTTTATTGTGGGCTTATATTTTTACATAAACTAACATTTTTACAGAAAGAATCAAGTTAATCAACCATACATTCGCTAGAATATTCAACTCAGAGGTATCATTTGCAATGGTTTTTAAAGCCGAATCCAATGATCTATTAATCATAAATAACCGTCTCCTCATAACAAAAAACATTCAAATTATACTCATATTGTATATTTTGTTTAAGAAAAACTGTACAATTTTAAAAAATACTAAAAAGTGTATTTTTTGTATCCACTCATTGGCCATCGATAGACTCAAAACATTTTGGGAACCATCATAACTGCGTATAACTTTTAAATTAATCACTTAAAATTGTGTGCACTAACGATATTTTCATAAAAACGGTCCAGCTCATAAACGGACCACAATAAACCCAAAATATTTTGGGTAATATCATATCATATGACAATTTATATTTTGAGAAGATTAACTCAAGCAGCATTGTTGTGAGTCGGTCTATAAACCATAAATTCTTTTGAATTGAAGTCGACATCTAGAGGTATTTGATTGGCATGTGTCCTTAAGTTGTCCTAAAGTTAAACCGAATGTCCTATATGGAAACAGAATTTGATTAATTTCACAGAACAAGTTCTTGTTGAGTTTTATCTTAATACCACGATTTATTGGCATTAAACCCCAAAATAACACCTATTGCAGTTGTTTACGTTGAATTTTGTCGCTATACTCGCATTTTTAAATCTGTTTTGTCTAAATACATTAATTTAACTTAAAGAGATCATCATCAGATTTTCACAAATCAGCATACAACAAATGACACAGGAAGACATCTTCATTAGAACGTTACTGTCGCTCGAAGATTCATATAATTTTCTTACTTGGACATGTTTAACAGCGCAAGATATGTTCATCCGATAAATGTGAGAACTGTGAAGAATCTTACCTGACACATATTTAATACGTTGGTACTAAAACAAAATACCAGCAGAACACAACTCTCATAAGAAACTTCTGCAATTGGACAGAAAGATGAAATTATGAGATCAGGGAGAATGGCCCGCACTACTTACAAGCAAACTTTAAATCAACGAGGTCCGTTCGCAAGGACCTTTTAACATTTTTATTATTTTCTTTTATGTTAAATAATATTTTAATTTAGTTTGAAAAATATTTTCCATTTTATATTTTTAAATTGAAAAAAAAAAAAAGTAAATAAAAAACTCGGATTTATAAAGTAAATACGGTAGCATAGAAAATAATAAATCGCTTAAATGTCAGAATTTTATTATGCCCTCGAAAAGAGAGAACGGTTATACAGTGGCGGCCATGAGGTTAGCACATTTGGTATCTGTTAAATATAAAATCAAATATTTCCTATAGTTCTTAACTTTTTTAACAAATTCTTATAATTCTAATTTTATGCGTAACACATGTCCTTCGAGGATCACGACACATTACATTTTGTTCCACTACTTTGTTGCATATAGATTTTTTTCTTTCCAAAGTACATCTACCCCCAAAAAAATCTGGACATAAGTTTAGCACAAAATAAAAAAATCATTAAAAAATTAAAAATAAAGCAAAGAAACCGGATAAATTTATGTAATTTCACTTAAAATTTTATATTTTGTAGAATAGTTGCACATTTTGATAACATAATTTCTTCTCCTGGACATAATCTTCACCAGTACACACTAGAAATTTCATGACATAAATTTTAACTTTCAGCCCATAAATAGGCAAAATTCTTAGGAATTTGTGTTTTATTTGTTGCACCATTTCGTTTAATATGTTCCCTATTGGATTGGGATCTAGAAATTATTCTGGGCGCTGCAAACATGTCAATCTCGCTCGCTTCCAAGAAGCTCCTCTCTGTACTTTTAACATATTTTGGGTCATTGTCGACCAAAAAACGCCATTTAACTGAACTTTTGTCCACTAATTTTTTTACTAAAATATTTAACAGTCTATTTTGATAGTCATACTGATCCATTTGTGCATCCACCTTGCGTATAAAACCTCCACTACGCCCGGAAAACGCCTCCGAATTCGTCATATTTCACCCATTGTGTTTTATGGTTTTAAATGTACACTTTGGTTGTTGCTGCATGTTTGGAGTACAGCATAATTACATTTTTCCATCAAATTTGATCCTATTAATCTTCAACTAGTATCCTCCAATCATGCAGATAAAGCTAAAGTGTTCCAGAGAAATCATATATCACAATAGGGGGAAATTTCATGGTATTCATTGCATTTTCTTGGCGTGCTGTTGGTCCTATATTGATGTTGGATGCAGAAATGGATCCGTATGACTATCAAAATAGGATCTTAAATACTTTATTAAAAAAAATCGGAGGACAAAGATGGCGTTTTTTGGTCGACATCGACCGTAAATATGCTAAAAGTGCTGAGATGAGCTGCTTGGAAGCGAGCGGGATTGTCATGTTTGCAGTGCCCAGTATATTTTCTCGATTCCTATTCAATAGAGAACATATAACATGATATGGACCAACAAAATCAGAAATCACCAAGAATTTTGCCAATTTATGGGCTGAAAGTTAATATTTATGTCATGAAATTTCTAGAGGGTTCTGGTGAAGATTATGTCCAGGAGGAGAAATGATATTATCAAAATCTGCAACTATTCCACAAAATATAAAATTTTAAGTGCAATAAGATAAATATAGCCGGTTGTTTTGTTTTATTTTTAATTTTTTAATGATTTTTTAATTTTGTGCTAAATTTATGTCCATATTTTTTTGGGGGTAGATGTACTTTGGAAAGAAAAAAATCTATATGCAACAAAGTAGTGGAACAAAATGTAATGTGTCGTGATCATCGAAGGACATGTGTTACGCATAAAAAATAATTTGTTAAAAAAGTTAAGAACTATAGGAAATATTTTATGTTATAGGCAACATATACCAAGTGTGCTAAAATCGTAGCCACCACTGTACCTTTATTTTTTCTACTATGGAAATAGCCTATGTATGTATCGTCATATGAAATCCAAAAAGCCCTAAGTCACATTGAACAAATTTTTCAGGAGAAGCAAAAAACCGTCTAAAATGATAAACCAAAAATGTTCAACATTTTCTCAAGTTAAGCTTATTTCTTATTGACAAATTATTATTTGAAGAAAAATTTGCGGTTTTTGTTTTACTTACGGATATAGATGGGCACTTTGCAGTGCCAGTAAAATTGCAGTAAAAATAAGTTTTTACTGATTATTGAAAAAAATTCAGTATTCAGTAAGTTTTTACTGGTTACTGAAAAAATTTTCAGTATTCAGTAAATTTTACTGATTACTGCAAAAAATTGCAATAAATTTACTGGTTACTGCAAAAAAATACAGTATTTTACTGATTACTGAAAATGTGTTTACAGTATTCCGTACAATCTAATAATTTACTGAAACTTCTATTTTCAACATATTTTTGAATGTAATACTTGTTTATCATCACAATTAGCTGTAGTGCGATAAATTTTGGGATTGTAAATCTTTTCAGAAGACAAGAACTTAGCTATGTACAAATTTATAAGTGGCTAAATCTTATATTAGTAGAGAGTAAAGGAGATCAATATGATAATAGTTATATGAAAATTTTAGTTAAATATAATAGTTTTTTACTAATAATGCACTTTGGTTGAAAATTTTACTGATTACTGACAAAAATTTCTAACTTAGTTATGTGCATTTAAGTAATTTTCTGAAGTTGACCTTACATGGGAGCTGTGACCAATTATGGGCCGAGCCGAAAAAATTTCGCAGGGTGTTTTATATCTACTTTAAATACATTCATGATGAATTTTATACCGGTAATTTCATTCAGTAATATGTAATATTACTGAATGATAACGTGGCTATCGGAAATGGGCCTTATATGGGAGCTATGCTCAATTATGGACCAATCCAAAAAGTATTTTGCAAAGTGATATACATATGTATACACAAAACATATTTTTGTTGAATATTATTCCAATATCTTTATTTCTTAATTAGTTATTTGTATTAAAGTATTTTTCGAAAGTGGACCATATATGGGAGCTGTGACCAATAATCGACCTATACAGATTATATTAATTATTAATATGATTTCTGTTCTTATTATATACATATGTGCAAAATTTTGTGGTGATTCCGATATTTTTGCGGAAGTTATTAACGATAAATCTATTTCCGAGAATATGTACCTTTGTATGGGGGCTATGAGAAATTTTGAATCGATTGTTTTGAGTTTGAACATTTTTGATCCCTGGGTAAAGAAAATAAGGTATGACAAAATTCATTCCATTATCTTTAGTAGAAAACTACTCAAGAATTAGGAAAAAAACTTAATTTTTTTACTCATAACTTTTGACGTTGTGGACCGATTTGGCTGATTTTCAATACCAAACTGCTTAGGACAATAGTAATTTCAGTGAATTTGGCTGATTTATTTTGCTTAGTTTTAACGTGAGAGTGTTTGAGGCAGACAGACGGACAGACAGACGAACACAGATAAATCGACTCAGAATTTCATAAGGATCCAGATAAAAATATACTTTGTTGGGTCTCAGATGAATATTTCTTGGTGTTACACACGGAATGACAAACTTATATATACCCTCTATCACCACTGATGGTGGTGGAGGGTATAAAAACGAGTAAAATAAGAATTATTTAGTCGTTTTTGCAAAAGCCTATAACTTTGTTATTTGTCGCTTGATATTAATATTTTATATAATAACTGTTATCAAATTTTTAGAAATCAAAAAAATGCCCTTTTTTAAGAAATATAATTAAAAAAATTAAAGTTAAAAATCTCGGGTATGGCTTGCTCGATTGTAAAAAACAAGGAAGAAATTATAGTCGGGCGTGGCCGACCATATGATACCCTACACCAGTTATGAATATTAAATGTGATTTATTTTTCATAATAAAGCATTTATCTTCAATATTCCCTTGTTCCGATACATTTAAGCAATTTGTGGATGAAAAACTAATTTTCTGAAAGAGGCTTTATATGGGGGCTAGGGGCAAATATGGACCAAACCCGATAAAATTTTGTGAATATATTTATATTGACATAATATTTTATTGTGCTGAATTTCATCGCGATATTTGTGTTTATAAGTTAATTTGGGACATTCAAGTAACTTTCTGAAGGGGACTTTGTATGGGAGCTAGGGTCAAATGTGGCCCGATCTTTATGAAATTTGGCAGGGTCATCAACACTTCTATAAAACTTAGTTGTGCCGTATTTTATCGATATATCTGTATATTTAACATAATTATGAGCTCAGAAGCTCTTTTCGGGGGGTTCTGTTGTATGGGGGCTTGGTGAAATAATGGACCGATTTTAACCATTTTCAATAGGCTTCGTCCTTGGGTCAAATAAAACGTGCGTGCCAAATTTCATCCAATTATCTTGAAAATTGCGACCTGTACCTTGCGCACAAGGTTTACATGGACAGCCAGCCAGCCAGACGGACGGACGGACATAGCTTAATCGACTCAGAAAACGATTCTAAGCCGATTGGTATACTTTAAGGTGGGTCTAGGACGAATATTTTTGTATGTTACAAACATCAGCACAAATCCAATATACCCTCCCCACTAAAGTGGTGTAGGGTATAAATATGGATATGAATTATTAACCCATTAAGTGCCAAAAGCTAAAAAAAGAGTTTTGAAAAATTACTTTTTTACTTTTTTTACTTTTTCTTTTATTTTATCCCACAGAGAAAAATTCCTAACAAAAAGGCAATTACGTATTTAAAAATTATATTTTAACTAGCTATACCAAGTGTGCTTTGCTACCCTTAAAGCAATGTAAATAAAAAAACACTACGATTTTGAAGATTCTAACTATAATAGTTTTCCAGATATACATTTTTATGTAAAATTTTTGTATTTAATTAATATGCGATGTTCCAATTTGCTAGTCCGCCAATTTATTACCAAAATGTTCACATTGATGTCAAGGTATTTTTGCTCTAATAGTTTCCCAGACATTTAGTTGCCAATAGTTCCTTCTAGACGTACAGGAAGACACTGTGAAAATTTTAGAAAAATCGGTCAGCCTTTTTGCTGTCTATAAAGTCCAAACATACAAACACACATTAATTTTTATGTAAATAGATGGGGGTACCTCGCCCCCTATTGCTACACCTCCAATTTTTTCACCAAATAATCATATAGATATCAA